ACTAGGAATAGTGCTTCCTCAAGATCCAGCCATACCACTCCTAGGCATGTATCCAAAAGAGCCTCAAGTTCTCAATAAGGACATTTATTCAATCATGTTTGTGGCAGCTTTATTTGTAATAGCCAGAAGCTGGAAACAACCCAGATGCCCCTCAACTGAAGAATGGATACAGAAATTGTGGTACATCTACATAATGGAATATTACTCAGCAATGAAAAACAAGGAAATCATGAAATTTTCAGGTAAATGTTGGGAACTGGAAAGGATCATCTTGAGTGAGCTATCCCAGAAGCAGAAAGACACACACAGTATAAACACACTCATATAGACATATAATATAGGATAAACATACTAAAATCTGTACATCGAAAGAAAATAATCAAGAGCAGGTCTCTGCCTAAAATGCTCAATCCCCATCCTTAAAGGCAAAGAGGATGGACATCAGAAGAAAAAGAAAACAGGAAACAAGTTAGGAACCTGCCACAGAGGGCCCCTGAAAGTCTCTGCCCTGCAGACTATCAAAGCAGATGCTGAGACTTTTGGCCAACTGTCGGGCAGAGTGCCTGGAATCCTATGAAAGAAGTGGGAAATAGTAAGATCTGGAGAGTACAGGAGGTCCACAAGGAAAGCAGCGGAACCAAAATTTGAACACAGGGGGCTTTCCAGAGACTCATACTCCAAACAAGTACCATACATGGAGATCATCTAGAACCCCTGCACAGATGTAGCCCATGACAGTTCAGTGTCCAAGAACAGGGACTACCTCTGACATGAACTGATTGGCCTGCTCTTTGATCACCTTCCCCTGAGGTGAAACCTGGCCACAGAAGATGACAATATAACCACTTTTGATGATATCTGATAGACTAGGATCAGAAGGAAAGAGAGGAAGACCACCCATATCAGTGGACCTGGGGAGGGGCATGCGTGGAGAAAGGGAAGGGAAGGTAGGATTAGGAGGGGAGGAAGGAGGGGTTTATGGGGGGATACAAAATGAATAAAGTGTAATTAATAAAAATTAAAATAAAAAAATTAAAAAGATATAAGGAAGATAAAAAAGGTATATAGGCATGAGAATTGGGTATTCAAAACAGTTAAGATGACTTAAGTTCTTCTATTTGTGTATAGTATTCTCTTACATAATAATCAAACATTGATATGTTGACTGGAATTTCATTGAACATCTACATTCCTTTAGGTAGGGTGTTCATTTTCATAATATCCATTCTTTCTATCAATCCATGAGGAACAGAATACATTTTATTTTTTAGTACCTTCCTTATTATATTACTTCAGGGACTCAAAAATTCCCTTGTAGAGATCTTTCATGTCATTACTTATGTTTATTCCTCGTCTTATTTTTAGAATGTTGTGAATGAAGTATTTCCATGACCTTTCTATTAGCATGCTTGTTATCATTATATAGAAAGGCTACTGATCTTCATAAGTTGGTTTTTGTATCCTTCTGTATTGTAGAAAGGGTTGATCATTTCTACAAGATTTCTGGTGCAATTACTCTCTTCTTATGCATAATGTTATTATCCCCAAATATAGATAGACTCATTAGTTTATCATTTTACTCTTTTTGTTTTCTTCTCTTGTATTAATGCTCTATATAGTGAGTCAGGGATAATCAACAGCCTTGTCTTATTCTTGATTTTAATGAGATTTATTTGAATTTTTCTCCAGTTAGGTTGATTTCTCTGTGTTTGCAAATACAGTCTTTATTATGTTGAGGGATGTTTCTTCTGTCCCATTCTCTCTAGCATTTATCATAAAGGCATGTTAGCTTTTGTCAAAGTCCTTGTATTTCATCTGTTGTAATGATCACATGATTTCTGTTTTTAAATTTATTTGTTTTATATATTTTATTTATCAGACTATATATGTTGTGCCATTTCTACATCTCCGGGATAAACACCGCTGTTCATTTTTTATTATATTTTTGATATTTCCTGTATTCAGCTTGTAATACTTCACTGAGATATTTCGTATTATGTTCATGATGCACATTGGCTTATAGTCTATTTATTTTTGTTAGTTCTTTACCTGGTTTTGCTATTAGAGTAATAATATCTGTGTAGAAGGAGTGTGGGGTGCTATTGATTTAAAAAAAATAATTCAAAAAAATTGACTGTAGATTGAATGTCCTATAGAATTCTGGTGTAAATAAACCTGGACCTTGATATTTGGTTTGTTCCTTCCTTTTTCCTTTTATTTTGCCAGGATGACTTTTATTTTGATTTCCTAGCTTTTATGGGTCTGTTTTAGTTGTTGATTTTTTCTCAGTATACACTTGGTGGTTCAGATAGATCTAGAATTTCCTTTATTTATTTTCTGCTTACTAAATTGAATATGGATTTTATAGTATTTCATAAAAATATTGTGAATTCCATTGTTGTCTGCTTTCTAGTTTCCCTGTAATGTCATCTCTGTTTCTGTTCCATTGGGTCACATATTTCTTCCTTTAGTTGAATGGGCTATGGATTCCCCAATCTTATTTATCTTCTCAAAGAAGCAGCTTTTAGATTAACCAATAAAATATAACAGAAATAGAAGATTAATTGGTTCAAATAAATCTCCATCCTTGGTGTTGCTAGGAAGGCAATATCAGTCATGCTGTGGTACACAACATCCACGAGGATGTTGAAAAGTAAAAAGGAATGAATATAATTTTGAAATAATAAAAGCATCCACAGTTAAGCTTCCTTAATTAGATTCTCTTAAATTAAATTTTAATTTTTTTACATTAATTACATTTTACTCACTTTGTATCTCAGCTGTAACCCCTTCCCTCATTCCTTCCCAATCCCACCCTCCCTCCCTCATCTCTTCCCTTGCCCCTCTCAAAGTAGGGAGGCCCTCCTCCCCTTCTATCGACCCTAGCTATCATGTCTCATCAGGACTGGCTGCAATATCCTCCTCTGTGGCCTGGTAAGGCTGCTCCTGTTCTCTTTACTAGGGCACCTACTTGGAGACTGAGCTGCCATGGGCTACATATGGGCAGGGGTTCTAGGTTATATCTATGAATGGACCTTGGTTAGAGATACAGTCTCAAAAAAGATCCCTGTGCCCAGATATTTGGGATTCTTTGGATCTTTGAATTTTTCACTGAGAGCAGGGCACAGTGGCACATGCCTGTAATCCCAGCACTCAGGGAGGCAGAGGCAGGCAGATCTCTGTGAGTTCAAGGCCAGCCTTGTCTATAAAGCAAGTCTAGAATAGCAAAGGCTACATAGAACAACTCTCTCTCTCTCTCTCTCTCTCTCTCTTTTACTATGTACTGGATAAACTAAGTCTTTTGTGAGATACTGATATTTTTTCATCAATTTAGTCTTTCATTGTAATAAATTTTCTATGAAAAAATATGCAATATTTATGTATTTGTTTTGGCAACTAGAATCATAATGATGAAAGGAAACAGCTTATTTATATCTAATTAGACTATATAGAATATACAGAAATGGCTCATTTTCCATTTTTATATAGCTTCTCATATGCTTAAGGAGATATAAACCCTATAAATAAAAGGTTTATAATACATTGCCATACATCAGTCATATATTTTCAAACACAATAAAATAGAAAATGTATTACATTTATCAATGCTGTAGAATATTATGTATCCTGTATTTTTTTCTTTTTTTTTGTATCATGTATTTTTTAACCCATATGAAAATGGATAGATTTCCAAATTGAGAATTACTGAAATTATTCAAAAAGATGAATTTTTATAATATGAAAATAAAAACATTACTCTTTAGGTTTTCTAAAATTATGTAGGAAACAGAAATTTATAAGAAAATATCTAGAAACATATCATTAACTCTCTAAATGTGTAAATGAGTTTGACATTTGCTAGGAGCTAATGAGATACTTACTTGCTGTCTAATTTGTCAAGTACCTCTTTTTGGAAGCCTTAAACAGAGATACCTTCGAATATATGAGTCATTAGGACAGATTAAATCAAAATATAACAAAATATACCAATCCTCTGACAACATTTCATGCCGAAAGGCAAAAATGTACATCAAATATTCGATGGTTATAAAATTTAAATCTTGTTTTGAAAGTTATTAGTTTTCACTTTGTATGCTTTGTTGAGCCTATGCTCATTGTAAATGCATAAAAGAAAATGGATTTAGCATCTTAGCAATTTTAACATTCTGCCTGCCATTGCCCTTTACTTTTTTTTTAGATTTTAATGATTTTTTATTAATTGAATATTATTTATTTATTACTTTACAATTTATTTATTATATACCCATATTGAAGCCCTCCCTGCCACTACTTCCAGTCCCACCCTCCCTCCTTCTTCCCCACTATCCTCTTCCCCTAATCCACTGAAAGGGGGAGTTCTCACCTCTGCCATCTGCCCATACTTTACCAAGTCTCATCAGGACTGCCTGGATTCTCTTCTTCTATAGCCTGGCAAGGCCTCATTGCCAGGGAGAAGAGACCAAAGAGCAGGCAACCAAGTTCATGACAGAGACAGCCCTGTTCCCCTTCCTCTGCAACTCATCTGGAGACTGAGCTGCCAATGGGCTATGTCTGAGCAGGGGCTTTAGGTCCTTTCCATGCATGGTCTTTGGCTGGTACATCAGTCCATACAGGACCCCCTGGGCTCAGGTATTTTTTTTAGCTTTTTTGGTTTCCTTGTGGGCTCCTGTCTTCTTCTATCCCTCCCCATCCTTCTTCTTCCATAAGTCTCCCTGTGCTCTGCCCAAGTTTGGCTGTGAGTATCAATATCTGCTTCTATCCCCTGTTGGGTGGGGCCTTCCAGAAAATGCTCTATAGTAGGCTCTTATTCTATACCCTCTCTTCTACCCTCTTCTGGTGTCTATCCTATTTGCCATTCTGAATGAGATTTAAGCTCCCTCTCTAGGACCTTCCTTCTTGTTTGGCTTCTTTAGGTCTGTAGATTTTAGTATAGCTATTTTATATTATTCTGCTGTTTTGCTTATAAGTGAGTGTATACCATGTGTATCTTTCTGTTTCAGATCCAGAGCACCTCTGATAATGTGCATGCTGGTAGCTGCTGCCATTTTGTATCTCCCAGCTTTTACTTATACTTCTCTCCTTTTTGGTATGTAATTAGTATCTTTGTTTTCAAAATTCAGATCTTTATTTATGACCTTATTCCTAACCAGTGTATCTTCTAACATAGCAATTTGTGATTTAAGTAACAAATTGAAGTAGAGATGTTGGGTTTAACTTTTGATTTGTTTTGTTTCTCAATGGCAACAAATTGTTCTCTCTATGAGAAATTGTTTCTTTTTAAATATAAAAGTTTAGCTCCTTTGTTAAACGGGAACTCGACAAGCAGAGCAACAGAACAAGATAATTTGAACACAGGGAACTTCCCAGAGACTCATACTCCAACCAAGGACTATTCATGGAGATAACCCAGAACCCCTGCACAGATGTAGCCCATGGCAGTTCAATGTCCAAGTGGGTTACATAGTAATGGAAAGAAGGACTGCCTCTGACATAATCTGATTGGCCTACTCTTTGATCACCTCCCCCTGAGGGGGGAGCAGCCTTACCAGGCAAGGGTAGAGGACAATGCAGCCACTTTTGATGAGAACTGATAGACTAAGATCAGAAAGGAGAGGAGAACCTCCTCTATCAGTGGACTTGGGGAGGGGCATTCATGCAGAAAGGGGAGGGAGGGTGGGTTCGGGAGGGGAGGAGGGAGGGGCTTATGGGGGGATACAAAATGAATAAAGTGTAATTAATAAAATAAAAAAAATTAAAAAAGCAAAGGTTTTTAACTGAAAAAAATAAGTTGTCTCCTATATTTTTTTTTCTTTTTCTTATTAGTTACATTTTCTTAACTCTGTATCCCAGCTGTATCCTGCTCCCTCATTCCCTCCCAATCCCACCCTCCCTCCCTCATCTCCTTCCTGCCCCTTTCCAGGTCCACTGATTGGGGAGGACCTCCTCCCCTTTCATCTGACCCTGTTTTATCAGGTATCTTCAGGACTGGCTGCAAAGTCCTCCTCTGTGGCCTAACAGGACTGCTCCTCCCTTGGGGGGTGGGGAGGTCAAAGTGCCAGCCATTGAGTTCCTGTTAGAAATAGTCCTTGTTCTCCTTACTATCGGAAACCAATTGGTTACTGAGCTACCACGGGCCACATCCGAGCAGAGGTTCTAGGTTATATCCATACATGGTCCTTGGTTGAGTGTCAGTCTCAGAAAAGACCCTGTGCCCGGATATATTTGGTCCTTGTGGAGTTCCTATTCTTTCACGTCATACTAACTCCCCTTCTTTCATGTGATTTCCTGTACTCTGCTGAAGGTTTGGTTATGAGTCTTAGTATCTGCTTTGAAACACTGCTAGGTAGAGTCTTTCAGATGCCTTCTGTGTAGACTCCTGTCATACGTTCAATGCATATCCCATTTGTCTTTCCAAATGAGGATTGATCATCTTATCCTGTGTCTGCTTTCTTGATTAAGTTGTCTCCTTTAGATAAGAGACTTAAAATGTCTCAACTTACCCTGGATATGAGATACATATGAGATTATCAGTCACTACTGAATTGTTCTGATTTACTTTATCTGGTTTACTTTATTTATTTTATTTACTTTCTGTTATATTAGTCACAGCATCGGGAGCAACCACATAGGATTTAAAATTTTGGTCCATGGGCTTTTAGGTCATTGAACACCCTAAGCCTTTTTAAATTTTACAGTAAATTTTGGATCAACTCTTTCTGGACAACAAAAATTTACCCAGTATAAAATATAGGTTCTAGATCCCTGACAGTAAAGCCACTTCTGATGAGAACTGATAGACTAAAATCAGAAAGAAGGAGAGGAGGACCCCCCCATCAGTGGACTTGGGAAGGGGCATGCATGCAGAAAGAGGGAGAGGGTGGGACCGGGAGGGGAGGAGGGAGGGGCTTATAGGGGAATACAAAATGAATAAAGTGTAATTAATAATAACAAAAAAAGAAAATATATATGGGTTCTATGGAGAAGGTAAAAGGATCAGTTACCGAATGGATGGAAATAATTTTGAAGTTTGTAAATATTGCTCTTTGTGTTGTTAGTTTAAGTTGTAGGCTGTAGAGGCTGACAAGAAACAAAATTCTGTTTAGTTGTTCTTTGTCCTTTCACAGGACTTATAATGACTGTGATAATGATTGCAAGGCAGCTAAAAGATGGTCTGTGTGAACAGCATCATATGCTGAAATCCATATATATCATGTTTGTCTCAAACTCAAGATCCGTTTGCCCCTTCTACCTTAGTGCTGATATACTACCATGTCCTGATGAGGGTGGCTATTCTCTGTGTCCCAGCAGAGAAGAGAGGTAAGGGGCCTCTCTCAGATCCATTAATGTGCACAGTGCCCACATGAGCAAACCAGTTCCAAATTACCTTATACACAGTGACCTAACACAGTCACCTTAGAGATTACTATTTCAGCATGATTTTGAGAGTGGGTCACACCAACATGCAAGCTATAATGGCTCCTGTATAAGACATATGTACAGAGTGTAGTATACACTTGAGTTTAGCAAGAAATATATCTGTAAAACTTGATATATTTTTAAAGACCAATTCTATTGCATCATTGCTGATTTCTTAAAGAGGTAATAGTAAGTTCATTTTCATCAGGAATGTCTTAAGGAGGGTGCCAGGTAATGTTCTCTATATCACATACTTATTACTAAACTCCAAATTGTGTGTTCTTTTTTAACGATTAGAGGCAAAATATCAACTAATTACCAACATATCTCTGCCCTAATTCTTAATGTTTCTGAGTTCTCGCTTAATCTTGTGCCATTTTTAGGGCCTGTGTCTTCTAGTCAGTTATCACTTTGTGCAGATTTTTCTGGTCTGCCCTGCAGGTCCAGTTGTTCTCTACCATTTGTTACTTGGCTTCTGATGCAGGTTAGGAAACTGGATATGTATGTTAACACAGGTCTCATGTTTCAGCAAGTGAATCCATCACTGTGGACAGGTTAGCATGACAGGGTATTAGCAAGCACTTTAGTCAAGAACTTCTAAGCTTATTTCTCAGAAAAATTTGAACAGATTTTGATTTGTTATATAGAAGGTAGGAAACATAAAGATGACAACAATACCATGTGGACAAGTTTTGATGGTATCTTTTAGAAAATCTGCCAGAACCTAGAAAAGAGAAGTTCCTTGTAATCAAATAAGTACCAGGGATTCTAAGATATAGGGCAATATAGGATATAGGACTCTGGACCTGGAGTTTTTGTTTTGTTTCCCCCTGAAACATGGAGAGATTGTCCTTTAAAGCCACAGCCACGTTGGGTCAGTTTGAGTGCTTTCACCATCACACTTAAGATGGGCTCCAAGGAATGTGAGACTGAGTGCCGCCTGTGTAGGCCTCTGTCTACCTTTCTCTCCATCCCAATATTCTTCCTTTGTTTTCTTGTTCCAATCTGCCTAGAGAACTTTTTATTCCTGGTCAGGCTGTGGTTCTTTCCCTTGTATAAACAATTATTTCTTTCCCTAGGTCTTTGATTCCAACATACATCATTCTATCAGTGTGTCACTCTCCCATTAGCCATACTGTAAGTTGAAGAGTAAACCTCCTACTAAAAATATCATTTGGAATAGAAAATAATACAAATAAATATAAGCAGTTCTCAAATTGCAGAATGCTTTGATGCCCTCTGTGTTACACAGTTTAATGTCAACTTGACAGACGCTAAATTAATTATTGATTTGGGAAAATTTGTCTGTTCTATAAACATAATGGACAACATTGTTTTTACCCATTTATTTTTTCTCATTTATTAACCATGTTTTTATAATGTTATTTTAAGATGATAATTTCTTTCTGAAGTGTATAAATTCTTTCAGATATGTTAACATATATTGGTGGTAGAACTCTTGCCTAATATGCATGAGACCATTAATGAATTGATAATACACTAAAAGTAACAGTCAGTTATTATAAATACATTATATTAAAGTTCTTATGATACATTTGATAAGCAGATTATTATTATTTTTATTATTTTTTAAATTCTTTTCTCATAGAAATATATCCGAAACACAGCTTCTGATCTGCCTACTCCTCCAGGTATCCCACTCATTTCCTGTCTCCTCTGTTTCCTTCAGAAAACAACAGATCTCTTAGGGATATGCACAACTATTCAATAAGACGTCAAGAACTATGTTGAAGAGATATGGAGAGAGTGGGCAGCCTTGCTTTGTCTCTAATTTCAGTGGTACAGATTTAAGTTTCTCTCCATTTAGTATGATGTTGGCTGTACGTTGCCTTCACTGTGTTTAGGTAAGTGCCTTGTATTCCTTATCTCTCCAGGAATTTAAACATGAACAAGTGTGGGATTTTATCAAATGCTTTTTTGGCATCTAAGAAGATCATGTTCTTTTTTTTTTTCCCATTCAGTTGGTTTATATGTTGTATTACATTGATGTATCTCCATATATTGAACCAACCTTGCATACCTGGGATGAAGCTTACTTGGTCATAGTGGATTATGTGTTTGATGTGTTCTTGGATTTGGTTTTATTTTGTTGAGTATTTTTGCATCAATGTTCATAAGAGAGCTAGGTCTGAAGTTCTCTTTTTTGTTGTTGTTATTGTTGTTGTTGGGCCTTTGTTTAATCCAATTAAAAATGGGATACAGAGCAAAACAGAGAATTCTTACCAAAGAAATATCAAATGGGAGAGAAACACTTAAAGAAATATTCAGTATCCTTACTCATCGGGGGCATAAAAATCAAAACAACCTTGGGGATTTCACCTCATACCCATCAGAATTGCTAAGATCAAAAGCTCAATGGACAACACATGCTGGAGAGGTTATGGAGAAAGGGGAGCACTACTCCATTGGTGGTGGGAATGTAAACTTGTACAAACACTTTGGAAATCAATGTGATGTTTTCTCAGACAATTAAGAATAGTACTACCTCAAGATCCAGCTATACTACAACTAGGCATATATCCAAAATATATGCAAGTATACAACAAAGGCATTTGCTCAACCATATTCATAGCAGCTTTATTCATAAAAGCCAGAATCTGGAAACAACCCAGATGTCCCTCAACTGAAGAATGGATGCAGAAATTGTGGTACACTGAAACAATTAAGTACTATTCAGCAATTAAAAACAAGGAAATCATAAAATGTGCAGGTAAATAGTGAGAACTGGAAAAGATCATCCTGAGGGAGGTATCTCAGAAGGAGAAAGACACACAGTGTATATACTCACTAATATGTGGATATTAAACATATAATATAGGATAAACATACTAAAATCTGTACACCTAAAAAAGCTAAGCAAGAAGGAGGACCCTGGGTAAGATGTTTAATCCCCATCCAGAAAGGCATATGGGATAGACATGGAAAGAGGGAGAAAACAGGGAAAAGGACAGGAGCCTACCACAGAAGGCCTCTGAAAGACTCTACCCAGCAGGGTATTGAAGCAGATGCTAAGATGCAAAGCCAGACATTGGACAGAGTGAAGCTCTACAATGAGAGCAACAGAACCAAAAAAAATTTGGGTCCAGAGGTCTTTTCTGAGATGGACCAGGCATGGAGGTAACCTATGTCCCCTGCACAGAAGTTGCCCATGGAAGCTAAGTCTCCAAGTGGGAAAACCTAGTAAGGGGTACAGGGGCTGTTCCTGACATGAACTTAGTGGCTGTCTCTTTGATCACCTCCACCTGAGTAGTTAGCAGCCTTACCAAGCCACAGAGGAAAATAACGCAGACAGGCTTGATGAGACCTGATTGGCTAGCATCAGGTGGAAGGGGAGGAGGTCCTCTCCTATCAGTGGACTGGGGTAGGGCCATGAGAGGAGAAGAGGGAAGAAGGGGACAAGTGAGGGGGCTACAACTAGGATACAAAGTGAGTAAATTGTAATAAAATAAATTAAAATAAAGAACTCAATAAGAGCATTTGCAAGCCCTTCCTTTAAGGCTGGAAGAACCCAGTAGAGGGAATGGAGTGCCAAGAGCAGACAAAAGAATCAGAGACACCCTCACTACCGCTGTTAGGAGAACCACAGAAACCTGAAGCTAAACAAACATAATATTTTCAGAGGACCTAGAACAGATTCATTTAGACTATATGAATGATGCTTCAGTCTCTCTGAGCCCCTATGAGCTCTGATAAGTTGATTCTATAGGTCATGACCTCCTTTTCCCGCTTTCCTCCTGTTTATAAAAGAGAAAATGATTTTTTTCTCTAATTTGTTAAAAGTATGTCCCGAATAATCATAGGATATTGAAAAAAAAATAAATTGTTTTATGCATTTCAGCCATTGATGCATTTTATAATTTGTGGCAGAGTCTCATTTAGAAAGTTTTTTTTCCTGTCTTCTAGATATTGTTTAAAATATTTCAATTTAATTAGTTTTTTGTTCTGGGAAATTAATCTTATGATTCATTTACTTTCTTTTTAATTTATTTTTATTTATATATTTATTTATTACAATTTATTCACTTTGTATACCCACTGCAGTTCCCTCCCTCATTTCCTCCCAGTCCTACCCACCCTCCTCCTTCTTCTTCTCCCCCTATGCCCTTTCCCTAGCCCATTGGCTGCTCAGTCTGTTTCCCTAGCCCATTGGCTGCTCAAGTGGTTTCTCTAGTAAGGGGAACAAGGACTGTCTCTGACATGAACTCAGTGGCTGGCTGTCTTTGCTTTTTCATAACTGTCATCTTGATAGTGTTATAAATCATAATGTAAATATCTGTTTTTTCTGATGGTCTTATAATATCCCTTGTGAAAGAGTCCTTCGGCTCACAAAGGGATTGTGGCCCACAGGTTGAGAAGCACTATTCAACAGTTTGACCACCACCGCTATTGAAGATGCTGATTCTCATTTTCAGTGTGTATTTTTGACTTCTTTGTAAGAAATCATCTGTACATAGGGAGGTAAACTTATGTCTAGGACTTCAGTTCAATTTGATTCATTAATGTGCTGGTTTCCATGTTAATATTATGCTGGGTTTTTTTTAATCATAGCTCTGCAGTTTATCTTTAAATATTGGCTGATGATAAATACACAATTTTTAATTTTTAGTATTCAAGATTGTTTTAGCTATTCTGAGTTTGTGTGTGTATATGTTTGTGTGTGTGTTTGTGTATGTGTTTGTGTTTTCACAAAACCTGGAATTTTTTTTTCCATTCCTTTTAAAAACCCATAAGAAGGAATTTTGATGGGGACTGTGTTGAATCTGGATATGGCCTTTGATAAGATATGTTTTATCAATATTCATCCTCTTGATCCATGGACATGGAAAAAGTTTCCATTTTCTGATATCTTGTTCAATTTTTTTTCTGCACTAGATTAAAATTTCTGTTATATTGGTGATACTGGGGTCTTTTGTACGAAATGTTTCTAGGTATCCATCGCTGACACAAAGAAATAGAAATAAGAATATGCTCAAATCTATGCTTAGAATGTCTACAAAATGAAAAAAAAATCTGAGTTTGCACCTAGCCTGGAGGAATCACTAAGAATGCAATAAGTTATTATACTTTCATCTAAAGACTTTATTAAGAACATTTTGTCTATATCCATATGTGAGGTTGGACTCTAATGAATAAGTGACATTTATAAAGCTTTACATTCTAGGATAATGTAAAATTTCAGAAAATTTCACAAATTATGAATGCCCAATTCATTGATTACATACAATTGTAACACAGGTATGGAACAAACAAGAACCAAGATTTTTTTTTATAATGTTCTCACTGTAAGCTGGCCAATGCATCCTTTGAAATTTATGATCATTTTATCTACAGATAACCTAAGCTCTTGATTGTTTAAATAGATAATTTAGCATACTTAAAAATAGTAAGGGAGAGAGTAATCATATTTCCTTCTAGTTTTAGTACAGTATTGATTAGAAAATATATTTTGAATAATATCATTTCTTTAAAATATATTGTTATTTTCTGAACTACCATGTAAAGTGTTTTCTAGTAGGATTTATGTATAAAATTGAGAACATTAATATTATTTAACTGTTAGATAATACTATATTGGTAGATGTGACCCTGTTAAACATATTTATTATTCTACTCCTCTATTTCCCTATTGTTCTTCTTTTGAGATGATCTTTGAAAGCATCACACTGAAATAATCCTATACATTGACATTTGATTTTCTGCTTATAAATATATCTGTGTTGCTTCAGATATCTTTTTTTTGGGTTTGGAGAAATCCTGTTAAAGTTTCTCTGTTTCTCCTGCTTCTAAATTTGGGGTATATTTTAGCATTGTATTTTCTTTTACATTAAGGTGAGTCTTTCCCTAATCCTCACTAGAAAAAAATTCTTTTGGTCTTTGTTACCGAGAGTAAAAATTTGTGTTTTGAAAATTGAGTTTAAGGGGATGAAAGATTTCCACCTAAGTGGTATTACTAAGTCCCTGGTGATAAGTGAGCATTAATAATTTCACTGGAGCACTCATCCTCATCGGTTTCTCAGTTAGCATTACTATTGCTGTGATGAAACACCATGACCAAAGCAACTGAGAGAGGAAGCAGTTCATTTCATTATACTTCCATATT